CACGGAGAAAAATCTCATTCCATGAACTACATGATATGACACGACACACTACATCAGGGCTGGGAAACTTCGGTCCTGGAGAGCCACTGTCCTGCAGAGTTAGCTCCAACCCTAATCAAACACATCAGAACCAGCTAATGAATGTATTTTAAGATCACTAGAAAGCTACAGGCAGATGTGTTTAATTAGGGTTGGAGCTAAACTCTGCAGGACAGTGGCCTTCCAGGACCGAAGTTTCCCAGCCCTGCACTACGACACAAACCTACATCTGTATTAAATGCAAAGTGTTTTTCCCTTTTTACTTAATGATTTCTTGACAGATTTGTGATTTTGTATTGCTCTCTGAACATTGTCTTATGATATGTGAATGGAGAATTTTCTCCGTGATTCTGCACCATTGTTGCACAACATTGCCCTGAGGCAACGAAAAAATATTTTGGGATGGGGGATGAGGGGTGGTCAAAAAATTGTTTTATCAATAAAATGTTCCCAAATAAACCAAAAAATTATGTGGAATAATTTTTTATCATGTACCATCAAAATGTATACTGTAGAAGGTTAAAGGCTGAAATGTGAGGTTTAACGTTTTATAAAACCTTTCCAAAGTTTTATATGAACATTTCGTACATGTTATTTGATAAACTGTTGTCAGTCATGTTGTCATTTAAAATCCGGACATAATTGGAAATGTTATTGTTTTAGTGTTTATGCAAACAAAAAGTCGTTTCATTTGTTGTTTGTTGATTTTAAATATAAAACTTGGTTAAACAATTTATGTGTCAGTACTTTTAATACCGTGATAAAACTGATTACCGAGATAATTTTGGTCACTATAATCATGATAAGTAATGAAGAGTTCAGATGCAAAAGCCTCAGATGCAAAAACCTATTCATTGCCATTAAAGTGAAATTACTGAACCTACACATATGAGCCTGATAAAACTGCTCATTTTAGAAAATATCAAACGGCACTTGGAGGCGTTTGCATCTGAACTCTTTATATACATAAATAACCAAACCCCCCAAAACAGAACAAACACTGGCTAGGATTTTTTTTTTAAATAATCGTCAATAAGATTACAAATAAATACATACATTAACCTAATATATTTGTGTTATATACATTCTTCGGAGTTCTTTTGTTGCTGACTTAGCAGCATGTTAACTTAAAAAAATGCTAATGCTAAACTCTCACATGATGAGTTGTATTCGTGTGGTGTGTGTGGTTGCTGCCTGTGTAGGGCGTTTCAAATCAGTCAAAAACAAGGCAGCTCAGATTTTTGGAATAGAACTACAATGAAGTCTGCAATCAACCATAAAGCTACGAATTCAGGCATTGAAGGTCTTGTGTGTGCATATTTTGATCCTTTGCAGCCTAAAATATGGAAAAGTCATGATTGAACCACAGATGGAAACCCAGAGCATATGACATATGCATGTTTTGCAGTTCTGAGCGCATATGATCCGTCATCCAAACACTCGGTGGATATCTGTCTGTGTTTGGCCCATTGTGACCGCTCTGTAATCCCGCTCTATTAACACCTTTGACTCTCTTTGCTCTTTGCTCTTAGCTGCTCTGCTCTCTCTCTTCTGTCTATTTGTCTAAGGGTCGGGGCGGAGTGGTGACGTAGCCGAGTCCAGCTCCGCAGGGAGCGTATGTCTGACTGTTATGATTATCCCTAATAAGAGCACAGAACCCTAAAACCATGGCGAACGGGGCAGACAGGATGTGGCTTAGATGTGTTCCTTTATTTTTTCCACATTCTGTAGCAGATGTTTTATGAGCTTGAGGTTTCTGAGCGATAGGGATTGATTGTTTTTATTTTTATTTTGAGTAAAAAATTGAATGCCCTAAGACGTAACATTACAGACGTGAGCAATACAACTGCCACATGACAGCCCTTAAAGGTGAAGTGTGTGGTTTCTGCACAGTTAGCAGCAACAAACAGAAATGCAAAAATGTTTCCCAAACACTCCCCCTGCTTGTGATTGGCTGGACAAACAGATAGCCCCACCCCAAAGTCACGCCATTGGTTGTTGCCGTGTGAGGATTCTCAAACAAACAGAACAATGTTTTAAAACTGCCACAGAGTCACTATTGGCACTTTTCCACTGCATAGTGGGTAGAGAGAGAGTGTCTCTGGGAGTGAAGCCCTGGGGCTAAGCATCGCGGAGATTGAGCTGTCCGTCTCGCTGAAATGAATCTGAGTTAACGCCTCTTCAGTCGAGACAGGACAGCCTGGGGGACAGAAAGAAGCGCACTTCCTGTTCACCTGCAGCCTCTTCTCATTAACCCACACCTGCAAACGCTCTCAGACATCGGCTCTGTCTGGAAATCTTATGGCAAAATCATGACTGTGACATTGCATGTAGGGAGATAGGCAATACCAGAATGCTTTGCCATGAGCTCAGAGGACAATAATCCCTTTGAAATGCCAGGCGAGGAGAGAGAAATGTGTTGACTGTATCATGTTAGCTGTTTGACCAGCCCCTGGTGAAAAAAGAAGGGGAAATTAACTATACTGAGTGTGGATTATATTGTTGAAATTGAGTATTGAGTTTAAAATAAAATAAAATAAAATAAAATAAAATAAAATACACAAAAGAACCGCTAGATTTAAATCAGCACAGCCAGCGAAGGATCGAACGCAACTGTTTTGAACGAGCGCACCTTTTTTTTAACAAGCAAGTTTGTTGTCTGTTGCGGAAGAACAGACGTTCCTCTCGTTGATAGCAGAGGAGCAGATCCAGCGAGAGCTTGATGGGGCGACGCAGAATGAAAAAGTTTTTTTTAGGAGTCGTGGTAGTAGAGGCGGCGCAACTATAACGACATGTGAATAATCCCGCCCACTCTAAAGCGGTACTGAACTGCAGTGGAAACGCAAACCGTGCCGAGCCGAACCGTGCCGTACTGAGCCGTACCGAGCCGAGTCGTACCACGCAGTGGAAAAGCGCCATACGTAAACAGTAAAACATTTTTTGCCAACTTATAGTTGTCTGCATACTAAGCTGGGATTGGATAAAGTATTTTAAACATAAAAATTACGTTTAAAATTCACTTGACTATAAAAAAGAAATAATGCAATTAAATAGAAAATCCTAAAATTAAGGCGACCCACTGTCATCTGCTTTCCGGCAGCTGCTAACAAGTATCATTTTTATAGATGGTTTGTCACAGATGGTCCAACAGATGTCTCTCTGGTCTTTAGCAAGTGTGTGTGTACGAACAAGTACCCATAGATGTGTTCCTTGTCAATCGTTACGCTGTCAACCAGGGCCTTGAGTGTGCTCTTTATAAAACATAAAGCCAAAGTACTTGAGTGTGTAAATCAGGGCTGAAATCTGAGCGTTGTGTCAGGCAGACAGAACAGACAGAAAGAGAGAGAGAAGCTTTCTCTTGAGATCGGATTCTGATGAGCATCATTAGTGGCGAATCCAACCCAAAGCAGCAAGACAGCTAAAATGCCTTTTCTAGGGAATAAAGCTAGGCATGTTGAAAGCAGAAATGTGAATTTCTTGAGGGGAAAAAAAAGCCTCCTGAAAGCATGATGTGTAGCTGATGGCTTTGCACAGATTATTGCATGTTTCAGTGGCTATTCTTGTAATGCTAGTATACTGCATACTGCCAAGTAATTAAAAAAAAATATGTGAACAAGTACGCAGTATATGCTATAATGTATGTTTAATTCAGCGAGTGCTGTCCAGTTTTTTTTTTTTTTATCCTTATCTGTTTGCAGGGTTATCAAAAAAGTGGTTCAAAATCTTAAAAATGAATATCACTTCCCAGTTCATTCATTGCAATAAAAATAAAAAGTCAAATCCATTGGTATACAATGGTATACAATCGTACATGCTGCATTGATTTTAGTCTTTTTTTGATTTTTGACTTTTTCTGCATTGATTTTAGTCAAAATCTTAAGATTTTTTTAATGCATTTAAAAATGAAGTCTAACAATACTGGACTTTTAATGCTTGCTGAAAGCATAAAAATGTTCAAAATGTTTCAGAAATAAATTCTTTCTCAGGCCCAGTGAGTAGGATGTAATATACAGGACCTCAGTGGGCCCCCTCCATCACAGGGCCCAGGACAACGTTTCTGGTTGCCCCCTGTTCATATGTAATTCTAAATGAATGTAATGGTATATATCAGTGGAGTCGAGTACAGCGAGAGAGAGGAGAAAGAGAGAGAGAGAGAGAGAGAGAGAGAGAGAGAGAGAGCGGCTCACGTCTGATCAGTCATGTGGGGGGAATCAGCATGTGCCCCAATGAGCTTACCGAAGCAACTTCAATATCCTCCGATGTCATGTTGAAATGAAAATTAATAGTTCAATATGGCTCCACGTAAATGCCACGCGTCTCCCATAACCCGTATCATGTGGCGTGACCAAATGAGTGTATTGTAATAGAGGTAGGCAGAGGAGAAAAGCTGATATCTTCAGTAATCAGGGTTTTGAAAATTACCATTAAATGAAATTCAGGGATGGATGGAAAAGAAAAGAAAAGAAAAGAAAAGAAAAGAAAAGAAAAGGGGGAGACGAGAAAAAAAACAAAAAAAACAGAGACATGGAATGAACATCTTTACCCCATAATGTGCTCATATCTTTCCCACAGGCTATGAGCTAGTCACCGCAGGGTTGACTTACCCACATGCACCACTCAAATTGGCCCTTGAATCTTTGAAGTCCCTGTTCATCTTCAGAGTCTAAACTAAGGTTCTGTCTCAAATGGCGCACTTGACCCTTGCAGACCTCCTACGAGCCCACACTTTGGTGAAGTAATGTTGCTTGGACGCAATGTTCTTGGGTCCTAGAGCACTTAGAAGTCAGCCAAACCAGAATGGACATACTTGAAAGACCACGAGACTGCATGGCCACTTCAAGTCAGCCATTTGGGATTGGGCCTAAATGGAGTTCTCTCAAATTCAAATTGAATTTCAAACTTCCGGAAAAAGCTAATAAAAATGCAACATTTAAAATGCACGCCATCTCATCTCCACATACCTCCCATCCATAAGTGGTCTCTTTCACCGTGATGCTCTGCAGTCCGTTGTATGGTCCGAAGCGTTCTCCCATGTGAATTTTGACTTTGGCCCAGATTCCTAGGCCAGACCCTGGAACGGACGACTCGCGGAGCTCCAGGTCGGCAGGGATGGGAATATCATCGGGAATGTAGACGGGCACCTCGTAGGGTGAGCCCTCTTTAGGAGTGAAGTCCTCATTGCAGAGCTGAGGGGACGAGGGCCCCACCGCAATGGGGGACATGACGCTGTCTTCTGTCTCCTCTTCTGCACTCTCGCCAGTCACGAGATTGGGCTCTGTGTCGTACATGCTGTCTACTGCCTCACTTTCATCTGAAAGACAATACAGAGACATTTGCAATACGTTAGCAGAATAAAGAGACACAATGCAAATGTTCTTCAGCTTCATTTCTCCACATATTTAATTGGCTGATTGTAAAAGGGATGGTTGCAACAAAAAATGAAAACTCTAAATGTCATTCCAAACCCATGTGATTTTCTTAATTATGTTGAACACAAAAGCAGAACTTCTGAAGAATGTACATGCAGCTCTTTTCTGTGTAATGACAGTCCATAGTGACCGTGTTTTTCGGGCTCAAAAATTACCACAAATAACACCATAAACCTGAAAACCTTGCACTATATCTTTCATATCAAATCCACTGCCCACAAATTGTTAGGGAAATGTGAAGATTCTTTAAAAGTCCTTTTTGTGTTCCATAGGAAAAATAAAATACAATGCAATGCAATACAATACATTGTAAAATAAAATAAAATAAAATAATATTGGCTGGCAATGTTTTTATTGTTCATCAACTGGAAAAAAAATGTATTCTGAAATTGATTTGTGTCATTACTGTAATAATTGTGGTGTGGACTTGATAATTGTTGAATATTAAAACATTATATGTCATCATTATTATCATGTGAAGGCCCTTTAGTTTGTAAAAACTCCCTGTTCATAATGATAGGATATTCTGGTTGTTTGCCAGGGCGTTGATAAGTTGTTGTGAGTGTCTCGAGTCAAAAGAGTCAACCCCCCAGGTCTCTATGATGTTCTGTTCTCAAGATGGGTTGGCAAAAATCATAATACAGATCACTTAGAAAACTAATAGCAGACCTTCTCAACAAATCATAGCTATCATTTGTATCCATAACACAAACGGAGCGGCATATTTATGTGCCAAAGTTTAATCCGTAGGGCTATGGATTGTTCAAATTATTAACCGTAAGTATGAGCAAAATAAGTATCATTCCATGTGGAGATTAAACCAGCAACCGTTCTGTCACAAGTCCAAGCTCTTAACCACTTCGCCACACCGACCAACACGAGACCACTGACATCACTGAGCAATTGCAACAAGCATGAACGATTCAAACCAAACCATTCATTTTTCTATTGCTGGTTAATATGTATGGTGATACTCACTGATCTCTGAATAGGATTCTCTGCCTAAACCAGAGAACAGATGCTCATGAAGGATTCACGGTTAGTTAGATGTTTTGTAACTCAAACAGGCCGCTGCAGGGAAGATGCCATCTATTTCATAGTCATCGATCATTTCCTGTCTGATCATTTTACAAATAATGGCAGCAAACGACATCTACGCTTATTGTCACTCTTTGCTTGACAGCATAATTACGGTACTTATCATTCACGATTGCAAAAGGGACAACTCGACTAAAAATAGGTTCTGTTTCTCTTCATTGGTTTTAAATGCATCACAAAGCACAAATGACGTACAAGCCCTTTGATATCATGCAACGACCATCAGGGCTGGAACTGTCAATCTTGGAGATCCAAACTGACCCATCTCCAAAACTCGACCTGACACATCTCACCTGAAATTATGTTCTTAACCCTCTACCGCACGCATTATGATAGACCTATTGCTTTCAGCAACTACCGACAAGAGACGGCAGTCTATCAGAAATCTCGCCACAGAAAAAAAACTGCATGTCATGTGACTTAATCAAAGCACATCATTGGCTAAACTAAGGTCTTCTCTTTCCAACAAAAAAAACGAGAATGTTCTCTTCAAGAGACAGTGGCAAGGAAATGAACACAAAGAGTATGTTGCCATATGGCTACACCATGCGGTAGAGGGTTAAATTTCTTCGGCGGGTCACAAAATGCCCTTGAGCAGTCTCCATGACGACAACTTTGCAAGTACGCATGGATGGACTCACTGTAATTTGTAGCAGCACCGCTGCAGTTTGCTATCCAAACACAGGACCAGCAATCAGGGCTAACTAGACTGCAATTACACCAGGAGTGCTTCCAATCAACCAGACTCGGCCCCCCTGCCAGCGCTGCCAACAACACAAGTTTATGACTCCAAACTGCTTTCTCTCACATTCAAACACTGTTTAATTATAAGCAACAGCAAAGCCATGAATAAGTATAAATTGCAGTTACTGCTAAGTTGGCTTTAAGTCAAACGTCAGTGGTTTCACTGAGGTAGGGAGAAAGAACAAGAGAGAGTGAAATACTAGAAGAAAGGCTCTCCGTGAAAACCCTTGGAAAGTTTGATCTTTAACACAACTGTTATTTGATCAAATGCATTATTACTCCACACTCTGGAATATTTTATTCTGATTGGTCAATCACAGCATTCTGTGGTCAATTATTTTGTAAAATAATGCTAAACTGCATAACTGATCATTGTCCCAGGCAACCAGATCTCTACAGCCACCCAAAAAATGAAGAATCTGTCATCATTTATCCATCCTCACGTCGCTCCAAACCAATACTTTCATTCATCTTCGAAAAACAAATGAAGATATTGTTAATGAAACTTGAGCGATTTCTTTCACTCCATTGAAAATACATTCACCCAAATGGACACTTCTGCATGACAATATTCTACATCCCTAATCCTACCCAATGTCTAAACTTAATAACTACCTTACTAACTATTAATAAGCAGCAAATTAGGAGTTTATTGAGACAAAAGTCATGGTAAATGGTTTGTTAATGTCAAAGGATGGGAACATTCTAGAAGTTTCTGTAGCATTCTGGAATATTGTAGTCCTTTCTGGAACATTCCAGAACATTGTGGGAGTAGTCATAAAAGACATAAATCATCCAATGCACACTTCTAAAGTTTTGGACGACTCCCTTTTGGTAACTGTTCGTTTGAGCTTCCGCAAGAACCAGTAAGATTTGTTCTTTAAGTATGAATGCAAATCTTATGGGTTTGGAATGATGTGACAGTGAGTAATTGATGACAGCATTTTTTTATTGGTAATAACTAGTGATTTAAGTCCAAAGATGTGCTGGCTTCCGATGGTCACTTACAGTATGCAAAAGTTGGTTTGGGACTGGAGATGCAAATGTTTGTGACAAAACTTTGTTTTTTTAAACCAACAATTCTGTGCAATCACAGTGTATCATAAAAAGCTACACAGTAAAAAATTAAAAGCTTTTAAAACAGCTCCTGCGTCATCTCGCGATTTTGAGGGCAAAGAAATGTTTTACCAATTTCTTTAATGGTCAGACTTTCATAGGAGTCTCAAAGCAGCCAGGCAATTAATTCAAGAACATGTGGCCCAGTAGTAGCTTCCCCTTTTCACAGATCAGTTAAAGTTTTATAACCACTGCCTATCTGGTGCTGTTTGCGAGAATCAAATTTTATTAATCATTTTATTATGCCATTAAATGTATTTATTCTGCTAAAATATAGTACCCCAACATGTTTGCAAGTTATCAACCACAATAATATATATGCAAGAAAGAAAGAAAGAAAGAAGGAAGGAATAAACTGATATAATGTGCATCTCATTATTGATAACATCAGGGTATATATTTGGATTTTAATGGTTTTAATCATACTTTTTTCACTTGCAGTGTTTTTAAAGTGTGTGGGGGGGGGCTTTGCTGTAAAACCAGAGAGTTATGAACCAAAACCAAGAGGTTGTACAATAATATTCAGTGTGCTACCATGCACAAAGATTTCTTACACCTTTAGCATTTAATTGATGCATAGCTTCCCCTTTTCACAGATCAGTTAAAGTTTTATAACCACTGCCTATCTGGTGCTGTTTGCGAGAATCAAAAGTGTTTTCAAACCATTAAAACTTTTTTCCCCTTCTCATTTGTGGCATATGACCCAAGTAAATTTTCAACAGCCATAGAAAGGGTAGGAAAATCTATTAAAGTTAAAAAGCCTGTAGTGTATGAAAAGATAGTTACCCTGAAAAAGTGAATTAAACGACATTTGATGAACAAAACATCAGAACCATCAGCATGAAAAGCGATTGTCATTTTTTCAGAAGGTACAAACATACATCTAAGTTATAAAGTGTTGCTTAGGACACCAAAGGAGAATTCTGTGGGGCATTTTCAGATCTGTAGATTGTTTGCTTTGTTCCGAAGCAGGGATTGAAATTGTTACCATGTTCTGCATTACACAATATTTGCAGAATGTTACAGAAACTTCTGAAATGTTCACATCCTTGCTAAATCAAAATATCTTAATACAGAATTACAGAAGAACCATAAAAAAATGTAAATTGTTATAATACAGTAATAATATACTGTTGCATTCGTATATGCCTAAATTAAAAAATGGAGAAAATGCATTAGAACAAATGCTCCAAATGAGCCAGGTGTGAAAACGTCCTTAATCTCAGATGGCTCCCCTGCAGACCACACAATTTATGTAACCTCCAGGACACAGGACGTGCAAAAACAAAACAGTTTCTCAGGTTTACATGTCAGTCAGATGGTCTCTTCCCGCCTAAGTGAGCTGTTCGTGGTAAGAATTAGCTGCAATGTGAACCAGACTTCATGCCACTAGTCAAAAATCTAGCAGAAGTGTGGACAGAACAAAGAAGCTCTTTAAACTGAGGCTCTGACATGCTTTGGATAGGGCTCTCTGTTGGATACTGACACTCCCGGAAGTGAAGTGCCTTCTTCTGAATGTCTGTTTGCTCTGGCTCTCATACTGAACTGTTTATCCTGATTACATCAGGCCATCATCATTAATTCACACCTTGGGGGTCCTTCTCTCCTCTGAGCTGCGGCCACAATGAAACGCTTGTTCAGCTTTGTTATTCCACTGGAAACTACTGTGCAGCCGGCTCGTAGACATGAAGGCATCAGATTGATTGGTCACTTAAGCCTTTATTAGTGCAAGCAGATATAGAGTGGATGAGAGACACTGGCATGCTCTGTGCTCCTCTTCCTCAAGAGTGGAATATATATCTGTGCTATAGGCCAGCGGTCTCAGGCTTTTGACCTATATACATTTTCATTGGCATTTCAACACACCGGAGTGAATCTGTGCATGAGTAGTATTTCATTGCAACATCTTTTAACAATAAACTCTTTAATATGGCTTCAATCTTTAGCCCAGGTTGCAAATTCATTGACATTTACATTCACAGCTCACCAGAGACCTAGTTAGTGGTGTTTGCTAAGGCAATGATCATTATTAATATTGTTTGTGCTTAAGGTCAGATATTCAAAAACAAAAAAATCAAAACTCATGCTAAATATTTAGCTTTGGTGCGTGACTCATATCGCAGCATACAGACCTAGCAACTACGGATGCATGATTAATTCAAATGAAACTATAATCGTGATATGGCTTAGTGCAATTATCAAATAGCAAAGGCCGTTATTCATTTAAAGAAATATATGCACTGCATGTTTCAGAGTGAAGCGCGACACTGTGTTCTTTTACACAAAAGTAGCTCAAGATCATGTATTTTCAGTGTCTCAGAATGGCTTGGTTTGCATTAAATGCTGCTTCGCACAAACTCATCTCTTCTGGTGACTTATATTTTGTAACAATATGTGCCAACCATCTTCCCAAACTTGTCATGCGAAATGCTTTCAACTTGTTGTCAACAAAAGATATGTTTTTAAGGGCTCTGTAACCACTCAGAACACCTTAACAGCAATATAGCAAACATCTGGCAACCATTTAAAGTGCGATAGCATTGTGGGGCAATGTGGTTAAGCTGTGCTTCTTTTTCCCCCCTTAAAATGTAAAAATCTATTTTGATAGGCTTGCATAAGTTTCTCTTCAGAGATGACAAGAAGAGAGACTTCGATTTAAAAAATAAAAAAATAAAAAAAACAGACTTTATGGAGATAAATAAAACAAGCAAATGTTGTGATATTCCAAATAAGGAAAAAGCTTCACGCTTTCACTGAATGAAAAACAAAATGGCCCTGGCCAGTTTGAAAAGTTTTGTCATCATCAGAAACACAAACGAGCCTCATGTTCCACTTGAATCCAATCTTGATGATTTTCTCTTCTTTGATTTTCTATACCTCAGAAGACTAAAATTAAACATGTATAAATATGGGAAGATGTGAGCACATATTTCTCATTGATCCATGAACATGCTGGAAGAGGGTAAAAAGTGTAGGGCATTACAAAATTTGCTTTCCAGAAACATGCTCTGTTTCCCCTCATAAAAGCAGCAGGGAACATTTCCAAGTAACACTTAAAGTAGCACTTTTGTTTGTTCAAAAGGTCAGTGTCATGGGGAATATTACGACAAGAGGAGATCCCTCATACTTACTCTGGTACGTAAGCCCACTAATACACCTTTACAGGTCCCATTCAATACTCCCACACACTCACAC